AATTATGCAACCTCTCTTCACGTCTTCAGAAGGCCTGGGCACGTCCAGTGTGAAAAACGCGCTGCGGAGCGATGATTTGCTCTAATTCACCATGCTGAGCTTGGAGAACAAAGTCACTTTTCGGTGGTCTAGTATGCGCACTTAAACTTGCTTTTGGAAGATGCCGGAGTAGATTCCGGAATCAACCAGCTTTTCGTTGAGTCGGGGCGGAAATGATTCGTTCAAAAATTAATACAAGTCGGAGCTGAGATCAAATCAACCATATTGGTCAGAACAATCTTTAAATTGATTGCAATATAGATATAAGTTACAAAAGATACCACCGTCCTGATAAACACGTTCATATGCAATAGATGACACCATTGATGTATTGGTGCCGTGCTATGAAATATACCGTGTGTGAGAGACATTTTATACACCTATTGCACGATTTATGTTATGAAATATTCCAGAAAAACTTACCGGTGAAACGAATTTTTCTGAAGTGTTATAGCTGCAATTTGCTTATGATGTTCTAAACACATCAAATATGTCTGTGATAACCGCATGGGAAAGACGCGGTAATCGCGCTGGCGAGAATTCAGCCATTGGATGGTCCGTAACCAAAAGGGTGCCCGCGCTGCCAGGCAGGTAGTATCCAAGATCAGGATGGTCCTAACTGATAGGCAAATGGGTGCCTTTAAGCACTGGTATATAAATTCCGGTTAAATTCCAAGGGATGAAATGAAGTTGAAATGTAGTTTTAGGCAACACGATAACTTGAATTGATCAGAAGCCAATACGAAAATAACCCGAAGTCAGTACCCGAGTCCCCAAACTATCCACATTCAAGGTGTCCATCGCGCATTCTACCCAATTGTGTTATTACCAGTCAGCGGTAACCCGACCATGGTATTCAGGGAAGACAATCATATTATGCCCAGCCCACCTAAGGATAAGTATCCCTGCAGAAGATACATTCGTTGATATGATGGTGTTACCCCACCGTCAGTTTCTACCACCGTTTAAAACGCTAGTTGTCAAGTTTCTACGGACCTAGCAGAGACTTGTGTTAAATCTCGAGTCTATTAGTTGAAAGGTGATTTTTTACGCAGGAAACATTGACGGACGTCGCCATGAAACATAAGAACAAAGGCGCCATGAAACGAGGGGCCAAAGAGCCAACTTTTTCTTGTGTTGTGGTTCGGCAGTAGTTCTTAGCTACTAGCGAAACGCATTGTGAAATCAGTTTCGAGCAACCACCTGACATGTGACAAATCAAATAGAAAATAAAAATACAATTTAGGTGGAAAAACGTTGTTTTGGAGGCCTGTTCAAGTTTCATTTGCGTTCCTTTATTGCGAAATCCTACTTACGGCATGTCAAGAGCTGACAAGCACGTAAGTACTGAAGATTTTGCATGCTTTCATCAACCGGGATGACTTATCTGAAACCACCAGCGTTGCAAACATCCCCTACCGATAAACAAGGCGATGGTACACACACCTATGATAGCAGGCAAATGACTAGAGGGTCCAAAGGCAAATATATTTGAGGCTATGCCAATCTTGAGACGATGAAAACTGGAGTTTGTCTTGGGGGGAGAGGGGATAGCAACCTAAGTGCAGCATTCGTGGATTTTCTCCCACCCGAAGCATCTCACTGGGTTCAGCTTTGTAGGACGTTCTAACGAGAGCAAAATTGAACAATATGTGACTCACGATCAGTGGTGAGGAACCAGAAGATTCTTGAATGTCACAAAAGATGCCTCCCAAGTGCTGTCCACCCTGGCAAGGCACAACGCTCGGGCACCGCAGGCCGCCGCGCGCTGTCTGCCATCACATGACTGATAACAGGATAAGAGCAAGCGAACAGATAAGCTGAAAGAGGCCACGAAATGAATGTTTTCAGTTAATGCCTGCTATTGGCGGTGCGTTAAAATATGTGTCTTAAGTCCTGCAGCAAAACATACGCCTTCAGACATCAGCTGCGACACCGCATGCATGGAGCGCCAAGTCCCGAGCACGGAAAAAGAGATGGGGCCTGCCAGGTGTTCAACGAAGCTCGTACTTTTTAACGTGGAAAATGTGCTTTATTCGTATTGGTTTGGAATGCCTGGTATTGTGTGGATGTTTCGGTGATCCGGATGATGTGGACAAGAACGAATGTGATAATATTCTCAAACTCCCGAGTGGAGCCATCGTTCCGCTCTGAAAATTAAACTTGGGGAGAGGTCCACATCCGTCCAGCACCTACTAAACTCAGTTTTAGTACCTACTAAACAGACAACCGGGATGAGTACTAGGACCCCAGTTATGGAGTGGCCCATTATACAGGTAATGAAAAAGGTGGGATAGAAGTGCAGACCCGGGAACTACATTGACGTTGAGGCGTTCATGGCAAGGGGACAATCGGCCTCATGCGAAATACAGGCTCATTGGACCTCGGCCATTGTTTGAAGCACTTGAAAGATCGGTCTCTATTTCGGAAAACATATTGAACTTAATTCTTGTCATATTCTGAAGCAGACGATTGGGCGCTCAAATCATTTGCGTCATCATGGAAAACGCAGGGGTCAACTCGCCCTTGACATCAGAAAATCAACTTGAAGTCTTTTCCAAAATCGGGGGAAGATGAGGATAGGTCAGTGGAGGTTTTCCGGCTTTCCGCTGCCTCCCCCCCCCCCCCCCCTCCCCACACCGATTCACGTTTCTGTACCGCAACTCGCGAACTTTGACGACGCCACTGACAATGGTCGCCCCGAAAGTAGCGCGTGCTATTTTAAATGACGGTCCACGTTGTCGAGAAAGCAGTTTTGGAGGCATAACAGTAGGGGAAGGAGTGGCACCATGGATTTTTAATCCGGGCAGAATTTTTCGGGAGGCCTCCTGAACAGAATGGGGACTCTTGGGCAACGGTGTATTCAATGGAGGGGGCATTGCGGGCACGTGCCCCTTATCAGATTGTTAATGCATCAGTATCCGGGTGAACAAATGTCGACGATGAATTATTGTGGTAGACGATTGCAAATAAACGGATTGAAAAGACGCCTTTTGTTCTACGCATGCAAGGCATTTCGCTTCCCTGCAACTCGCCAAAAAACTGGTTCTCAGTGAAAATTTTGAGTCACGCTGACCCCATTGCCAAACCCTGCATATGCCCTTGCCCATGGGCGAAACTTTCCAATGCATCCACATGGGCAAGGCGGGAAGAAAGCGAGTGGACGGTGACCTATCTCTACTCATCAAAGCACACGCCCATCAGCTGGAGAAAGGGAGTTTGCATGTCGTTAAAGTTATGCTGTGCCCCGTGGAGGCAGTGCAGCCTCATTTTTCAGGTCACGGAGAGCAATGTGAGCGCATCACGAGGCCGCATTTTGCGCAGAAATGATCTATACGTTCGCTTAGCGGGTCAATCCAATCGCCAAGGAACCTTCCACGTTACCCTGATTTCCTTGCATTTGCTCGGAGTGGTCTACGCTGTTGTAATGACCCTATATGATAACCTGCCTTGCCATTCCTAATCGGTCAGATGTCCTCCATGGATTCTCCCCATTTACCCGAAAGACTCCACACGCTATTGCTGGGTCCCCATATACTAACCCACCAGCGTGCTTTCGGTTGCCCAGGGGCCCTTCACATTTGCCCCAGGGTTTTCTACTTGCTTGTAGGGCTCTGCGCTGTTGCTGGGGGCCATGTAAGTTAACATACCGTGACACTCAATGCTCAGGGGTTCTCTGCATTGGTCCATGCCTCTTTCCATTCGATGTCATTTGTGAAGAACCTACACTCTCGTCGGACCCTTTTTGTTAACCCACCCGAGCACTCTTGATCTCACAGGGGCCTGCTACATTGGTCTTGGACACTTCACATTTTATCGCTCAGGGATGCTAGTTCATGTACATCGGTCTTGGGGTCGTCCCGTTTGCCCGGAGGCCTTGCGCTCTGGCCCGTATGTTAACATGCCGGGACACCCCATCATTCAGGGGTCCGCCACATTGGTCTTGCGTTCGAACTCAGAGGATCCCACACCGAAGAAGCGGTTTTGTTGACCTGCCTGGCTAAATAACTGCAAGTAAACGGGTCCGAATTCTGCACAATGACGATTCCCCCTGGCGCCTTGGCCGTCGAGGGCAAGGCGGAACCAAACGACCGACAAAACCGTTGTCGACATGCTCGCTTTCTCAACCCATTTTGATTTCAGAATTATTCATGGCCGTGCAATCGTGCTCCGAGCCTTTGGGACCGATCGACACAAAACCTTTACAAATCCATGCGCCATGGTTGATAACGTATTGTTTCAGGAACAAGCTGACCTTGCGCCAGACCAGAAGTTCCCACGACGCCCAAAAAGAAACAAATACAATTTTGCAGAAAAACAATGTTCCAGCGCTTACACGATCGATCGGCACAACATATTTACCAATCGATGTGCATGATCGATAACTTAGCCTTAACAGAACCTGATGACCTTGGGTCAAATCGAGCATCATGAAACGACAAAAAACACCATAATTTAATTTCTAGACAATCCTAAGCTCCCAGCCTAGCCTGTATGACCAACCGCCTCAAAAGCGTCACCAATGGTGGATTTTCTTATTTTCATCATTTCTCATCTTCCATCATCATCATCAAGTCCCTTTTTTCCTCCGCGGACGTAGTCACCTTCGAGAGGGGCGGGGCAGCATCGTCCACACTTAGGACCTGGCCCATACTCTCTACGTAGGTACTAGGTACTGTCGCTACTGCGCCGGCAACTGCCGGCCACTAAATATGGTAGCAGAACATAACACGTAAAGAGCATAAGTTTCCTCTTAAGTTGAGAAAAAGTGATGTGTTGGAATGTCATTTACAACTTAGAAATATAATACTCCATCAAAAGTAAACAATATGATGGTTGTTAATCGCATGATTATGAGTAACAATCGATATAAGCTCGTTGCAGAAAGTTCGTCTACCTAGTAATTCTGCCACGAATGAAATTTGGGAGCATTGCGCCAGTTTCGTCATGCTATATGTAAACAACCGTCCGTACGATAATTGCCCTATCCGTGCCATTTGCCCCTCTGATGATTTAGTACGCGTTGGTGGGTATTTTTTGCTGTACAAGTTGGCTTTGTTTACGGCACTCAACAATTTATTGTTTGCGGTACTCCATTATTGGTAGCTACATGCACATGATGTATGGCATCGTTCTGGCGTGCGGCATCAGCCCTGCTCTAGTAACCCCGGCGTGCCCTGCCTGCTTTGACCCATACGGTCTTATACATGGCGATGGAGTGTTCCCTTTCTTGCAAGTTTTTGGTAATGGTCCAGTAGGGCCACTTTTACACATACTGTGCAGGCCAAAGTTAATGAAATGTGCAGACATACCTGTCATGGTTAGTATTTTTTATAGTGCGAATTTCAAACAATGGGCTGACCATGTTTATACAGTGGGAGCAATACACTCATCACACTATTAACACCATGTGATAAAGTTTTCTCCATGATATCAAGCAATAACCTCACATAAAAGTCATTCACAGTTGACACTGCTCAGCTGTCGCAAGAGGTCACAACACGGGTGTCAGAAATTTGAGGATGATGTGAGCATGTGTTTGATGCTGATTTGAGGGATATCACTTTGAACTCCGTGAGTGAGCAAAAAGAGAAACTAGGATTTCTTGGGTTTCCTGGGTTTCTTGCATGATGTGGGTTTGTATGGACAGGCAAGCTAGTGCATTTCATTGAAACTCTGTTTTCCACAAACCCATAATGATGCCACCCTGACTGACAACCCCTGTATCTCTGCCACCCATGACAACAAGCTATGTGTTTCATAGGTTAATGAGGTCACAACATGCAAGCAATAAGACCAGGATGTTGTTCTACCCCTGACACTTCATAGTATTTTAACAATCCTTGGTAGTATGTGAACAACATTTTGTAGTATATCAACAATGTCTGGTAGTATACTAAGCTGAGTGCAGCAGCCTTATGTTACAGCTACCAATAGAGACATTAATGTAAGATGCTGCATGCCATGGCAGACAGGAGTGGACACTCCTGGTCACCTGATAATGGGTGATGGACAGGGAAAAGTAGCACTTTACAGTAAAACATCTACCATTATGTGGCTCTGTGCTGTGAAGCCAGCACAACATGGCAGCCCATCTTTGTCCATTGCAAAATGTGATCATCAACCAAAATAAATATTTGTTCTCAGTTATGGGTTGTGTTATGTGTTCTCAGTTATCAGTTGTGTTTTGTTGAATAATTCTGTACTTGTGTATCACCAAAACTGTGGCCTGGTGCCAAAAGGCAGGGACCATCCATGAATTATGATACACAGCTTTGGCTATCTTTGAGCTTTTAGGAGTTGTGTATGCTGCCTGTCATAGGAAAAAGCCAGGTGTATCCACTTCTAATAGCTTAAAGCTTCTTTCTCCTTTTAAGCTTGAACATGATTTGCCACCACAACTGAGTGTGATTTTCTGCATGCCCAGGACCCTTTTCCTCCCCTTTTAAGCTTCAGCTATAGTCCAAAGTATTGCCTATGCTCTGTCTTTGTATATTCCAATGCAATAAGAATGTCTGTGGGCCCAAAACACCAAAAATGTGTAGCTACCATATGCTATTTGACACACATAACCTCCAGGTACTGTTTATATAAACTCCAACTTTGCTTGACTCTGAACAGCAAATACAGTTAAGATGCAGGCTGTTGTCTTCAAAAGTGTAATATCTTTCATCTAGGGGGGCCTGTTGTTGCCCAGGAACTGTTGAGCACCATGCTTATGACAGGCATACCAAGGTAGCAGAAGCTTGTAAATAAAATGCAGGTCAGTTATTCAGGTTTCCATTACATGTTGTTTGGGATAGCTACTTAAATAAGCTTGAAATCAGTCTTAAAATGCACAGCTTCAGCAACAGTCTAAATTCTTGGGTGAAATCATTCAAATCTTGAAAAAAGTGCTGTACCTCTTAACAGTCAGCAGAATCAGAAGAGATATATCATTATTTTGAATGCATCAATTAGACTGAGCTAATACAATGCAACAGCAACATTGAGAGGATCAGATCTCACAGACTGACAGGCTTGCAAAGCTCAATACAGTGAAGTCACATGGTAAAGGGACCTGAGGTTTTTGGGCACCTTTCAGCATATTTTGCTTCATAATTTCACAGTGCATGGTGGGCATGATCATGCTGATGCCTCATGTTTAACTGTTACCCATATTTGGCAGATCATGATGATGCTCATGTAAAGAAGACAACCTCTGTACCACAATGACATCAAGAAGTGAAAATCAGAAGAAATTTCTTGAGAATGTGCAAATTGATCTCAGAAATCTATCTCAAGAAGCAAAGAAGAAATTTCCACAGCTAAAAGATGTAAGCCATGTGTATGCACAGCACCCACAGGCACCATAATAATGCATGCAGCCCATCAAGTCACAACATCCACAAAGACACCATGCATCACCATCCAGTGGGCTTTCCAAGAACTAAAATGAATCCCGAATCCATGGTGTACCATTGTCTACTGCAGTTCTACTTTTTCACTGCAGTCTGACCATTATGTCCACCTATATGCTCTCTCATCATAGACTCCATCTGCGGTATGTGCTACACGGCTAATCAAACTTAGCAGTGGGTGAAAGCCTTTGATCTGTTTAACATTAACAGTTATCTGCCCTTGGGCTTCAATTGTAAGTGTTAACACAGCAGTGTATGCTATCTTACATTTTATATTGTTATCGCTGCCACTCTTGCTGTTGTGCGCCGATACATGTAGCATGCCATTGTGAAGGTCTGCGGTGCTGTCATCAGCAGGCAGTTTATGATGATGCCATTGTGAAGACATCTGATGTTTTAACTGCGGGCATGTATGCGCTCGGCCAGCATAAAAGTCCGTGGCGCTATCTCCAGCACCCAGGCGCGTCATGAGGCCATCGTGGCCGTTCCATGGTGCCGCCGTTGCGTGCGGACAGGCCCGCTATAAGGCCATCTTGACCGTTCCATGGTGCCGCCGTTGTCTGCGGACAGGCCCACTATGAGGCCATTATGACCGTTCCAAGGTGTTGCCGTTGTCTGCGGACAGGCCCGCTATGAGGCCATTGGGACCGCTCGAAGGTGTTGCCATTGTCTGCGGACAGGCCTGCTATGAGGCCATTGTGACCGTTCCAAGGTGTTGCCGTTGTCTGCGGACGGGCCTGCAAGGAGGCCATCATTACGGTTCCATGGTGTTCTGTGTTATTCGGACAGGCCTGCAAAGAGGTCCTCATTACGGTTCCATGGTATTCTGTGTTATTCGGACAGGCCTGCGAGGAGGCCATCATTACGGTTCCATGGTGTTCTGTGTTATTTGGACAGGCCTGCGAGGAGGCCATCGTTACAGTTTCATGGTGTTCTGTGTTATTCGGACAGGCCTGCGAGGAGGCCACCGTTACGGTTCCATGGTGTTCTGTGTTATTTGGACAGGCCTGCGTGGAGGCCATCGTTACGGTTTCATGGTGTTCTGTGTTATTCGGACAGGCCTGCGAGGAGGCCATCGTTACAGTTTCATGGTGTTCTGTGTTATTCGGACAGGCCTGCGAGGAGGCCATCGTTACGGTTCCATGGTGTTCTGTGTTATTTGGACAGGCCTGCGAGGAGACCATCGTTACAGTTCCATGGTGTTCTGTGCTTATTCGGACAGGCCTGCGAGGAGGCCATCGTGAAGGTGCGCGGCGGACTGGCCAACCCAGACGTGACCCTCCCCCACATCAGCGCCCACATTCTCTACCCGCTGGTGCAGGGATGCGAAACCAAGGAACCAAAGATTGTCAAGGCAAGTGCCAGATGTAGCTTCATGTTTTGTAATGTGCGTGTTCAGAAGGATTTCGGTATGACACCATTTGTGGCTTCGGGACATGTTTGTTCTTTGATGACGTTAACCAAATTGTTTCTAGTCGTATTTATTGTAATCGGAGTAATTGCCGATATACCAATCCGAGATCCTTTAAGTATGCATCACCAAAGTGCTAAGGAAGGTCCCTTTTCAACTAATAACCTTATATCTCGTGTGTTTGGTACATGAGATGAGGGAGCCAGTTCTGTCATTTTGTTTGCTGATGTCAATATTATTCAAATACTCATGCTCTACAGGCATTGTCATGCTGACTTTCAAAAAGAAGCCAGTGACGTGTAGTGAATAAATGTAATCTGAGATGTAATTCATCCAACATTCATAACTCAAGAACATTGGAATGGTTCTTTGGCACCCTTACAATGATGGCAATGTGATTTCCTACATTTGTGTGCTTTCAACATTCCAATGTTGGCTGGGATGAATCGGCCAATGTCATTAGCATGCCGCTACACGACCTTGGTACAGCCTCAGCCGCTGTCTGACGCGTTTCTGTGCCCTCAGCAATGTCTGGGCACGATCCAGCGGCTGGTGCTGCAGCAGGCGGTGGACGCAAAGGGCGCCGGGTACATCACCGAGACTGTCTGGGGCCTGATGAAGGCCAACATCGAGGAGGTCAAGCTGCTGCAGACAGTGACACTGCTGCTGACCACCAGTGCCGTCGCCCAAGGCGACACACTGGCCAAGGTGGGCGCCAGCGGGCCGAGCCTGACCGCAGCGGCTGGCGACCGGCCGCCGCCCGCTCCCGGCCGCCGGCCGCCGGAGTAGACGTGGTGTAGAGCGGCCGCCGTCCACTCCGTCTACGGCGGAGTAGACGGCTTCCAGGCAGCCGCAGCCGCTCAGTTGGCGCGAGGAGCTCGTAATCGTGACTGGCGCTTGGGTCAAGAAGATGCACTGCGTTTGGGTTGGGTTGACTGTATTCCATTTCTAGCTGGGAAGAGCCTGCGTGTTTGAAGCCAATGCAGCCAGAGTCAATAATCATCGGTTTTATGGTCTGGCGAATGGAGCTCTACACCATGCCGATGCTATTTCGTCGTGTTAAAGCCCCACACGGTATGCGTTTAGCCACGTCGATTGAACCAAACGTCCCGGAAGCGTCGTGTTGCTATTGCTTGTCGTGAGGCGGTGGGACCCCAGCTCGCTGACGCCCTGCCCCCCGTACCGTGACGTCACGACCCGGCGCCCCATCAGGCTCTGGCGCTGTGCTTCCGGCTGTGCTTCTGCAAGGACTCGACGATCATGAACACGGCCGGCGCCACGGTGCGCCAGCTTGTGGCGCTCGTGTTCGAGCGCGTGCTGACGGAGGACGGCCGTAGCCCGTCCGACCAGGTGAGCTCCTCCCCCCCCCCCTGCCGGCCGGTCAGCGGATATGGCGTGTGATCGGTGCCTCCTCCCCCTGTCCTCCCTCCGGGGGCAGGGACCGCACACCCGGTCAGCGTGGAGGCCGAGAGAGGCCTGTGCTGCGCGCGTCGAGATGTCTATGCACCAGCGGGTTGTGATCACATCCGACGGTGTTGCCTTCACGTATGTGCGGACGTGCTTGTCCGCTTCTCGGTCCTCTTCCTCACGCGGACTGTCAGTGCCGCTCGCGCAGTGCTCTCCCGTACTCTCGGTGCTTATTGCGACTGTGGTGTGCCCGCTCTGTCACGTGCGGTGCAGCATTTGGTCCGCTCGGTGCCCTCGCCGCTGTGTGTTGCTGCGTCTCACGACTGCGCGCCCTTTGCAGTCGTCACCGAGCCAGCCGGCGGACATGGAGCACCTGAAGATCGCCAGCGGCTCGGCGCCGAAGACGCTGCGGCCGGCGGCGGCGGACGCCTATCTGCTGTTCCAGGTACGGGGCACCGGCTCAGTCGTGTATCGCTGCAGCAGCCGCTGGCCGGCTGTAGTCAACGATTGCTGACATGGTTTGGTGTGGAGTGGTGTGTCGGTTTGCTCTGTGTTGTGGCGCCATTTAAGTTGTATTTTTGTCAGAAAGCTCATGCCGAGCCTCCTTTTCGTTTGATCAGATGCATCTACCTTTTTCTGACTGCAAAGAATCGACCATGTCTCGTCCACACGTCGTCCTTCGTGTGGATGCTGCCGGTCCACGGCGTTGGTTTTACATGTCTGAAGATGTCTATGACTTTGAGAGGAATTGTGCCGAAGACAGGCGTCCGAAGCCGCAGCAGTCGCACGGCCTCAGCCAGTTCGGAAGCGGCCGCCCAATCACCGTTTCTTACCAAATCTTGTTGATCCGTGCCGACCCCCTTTCACGTGCATTGACACCTGTGACCTGCATTGTCGTCATCTGTGACCTGTGACCAGTGCTGACTCTTGCCCGCTCCGCAAATCCGATGCTCACTTCTGAGTTACTGACTGTGACCTGTGCTGACTGTCTCGCCCCCATCACCTCTGCGGAGCCGCTGCAGTGTGATCTGACAACCGCAGGTGACCTCTGTGATGCTTGCGGACACCTGTGAACTGTGCGGGCCCGTTTGATCTCCGGTGAGCTTGCCTGATACTGGTGACCGGCGTCAACCTCTGGTCACCTCTGTGACCGGTGCTGAGCTCTGCTGACCTCGTCGGCTGGCCGACAGGACCTGGTACAGCTGGTGAACGGCGAGCAGCCCTTCTGGCTGGCCGGCTTAACCGAGATGACGCGCACGTTCGGTCTAGAGCTCATCGAGTCCATCCTCACTTCGTTCCCCGGTGTCTTCTACAAGGTGAGCTTTACACAACACCTCCCCGCTCTCCCCTCCTCCGTCCGTGTGCATTGACCCGCAAGAGACAGGTCAGCACGGCTTGGCGCGGTCATGGGAGCCGAGAATTGTGGAGCGCATTTGAAAAGGGTTCTTGCGTGCGCGCCGCTGCAGTAGTACCGCCACGTCTCAACCGCCTGCTTCGCAGCACAGGCTGCCTTTGATGTTCGCTGCGCGCGCCACGTTAGCAGACAGCCTCTACACCAGCCTGCACCAGACCGCGCCGGCCGGCGGTCAGCGGTGCCACAGTGGATGACACTGGTGCTCCGCCCCGCCAGCACCCCGAGTTCAACTTCCTGCTGAAGGAGCGCGTGTGCGCCATGGTGATCCGGCTGTTCTCGCCGAACCTGAAGCACCGGGGTGCGGCGCCGGCGCACGCGGCGCCGCCCAGCCCGCAGGACAAGCCGTACTTCCCGATCAGCATGCGGCTGCTGCGCGTGGTGTCGGTGCTCGTGCAGAAGTTCTACCCGCTGCTGGTGAGTGGCGGTCGCCGCCGGCGGGGGGAGGGGGGGGGGGGGGGCGGGCCCGGTCGGAGGCAAATACCGTGGGATTGAAAATGGAAGACAGGTGCCTGCCACGTGATCCGATGTCAAATTGTACATATATATATATATATATATATATATATATATATATATAATCTCCCAATGCGGACCGAGATATTGTCATGCCGCTATATGCACATGCAGCTTTGGCGCACCATCCTGGAGGTGCATTGTTATTCATCTTGGTAGTGTGGTCGTCGAATGGTCGATGATTGGGTCTGGTCGGCGCACAGTCCCGATGGGGATTTAAACTCGCAGACAACGTGGTCATTTTCTGTAGTACGTTACTTGTGGATAAGGTGTTATTCATGATTAGGTTCGGTCCTGGGGGACGTTTAGAGTAAATTCTGAGCTTTGTGATGTTGGGATTTTCTGGGAAGCAGCTACTTAATATATATCGCGAATGCCTTTTTCTTGGCGCTCGGTGGCGTGTCACGCGCCGTGCTGTCACTCCGTGCAGTCATGCCCGGGAGTGGAGCGCTCGCTCGGTGGCGTGACGTGCGCCGTGCGGCCAGGTGACCGAGTGCGAGATCTTCCTGTCGCTGGTGGTGCGCCTGCTGGAGCCGGACAAGCCCGTCTGGCAGCGGGCCGTGGCGCTCGAGGTCATCCACAAGCTGTCCGTGCAGGAGGACATCCTCACCAGCTTCTGCTCCAGCTACGATATGAAGCCGCACTCCACCAAGATCGTGCAGGTGGGTAGCACCGCCGCCGACGGTGCCGCCGCTGTTCGCCGCCTCGCTGGGGACTCTGCGGGATGGCCGATCAGCGATTTGTACCGACCCCGGCTGCTCCCGGCTGCTGTGGCGTGGCCTGTGAGACGGCGGGGTTTAACTCTCGGCTTTCTATGACTGGGCCAATCGGGGCGGCAAAGCTTTGTTACGCAGACGGTATTGGGGCTACGAGCACGTCATAAGTGATTTACTCCTGAATGCTAAATTTTATCACGCACTAAATTTTAGTGCCCTAGTTACTGATTGTGCGCGGCCAAACATTAAACATGGATTACCCACCGGGGACGTTCCCACCGAGTTGATGTTCCTCGGAGCGCGCGTGGAGCGTGTGCCCACCGATGACAGCCAAGTGTCAAGTGTGTGCTGATTATATCTGATGGCGCGACGGCAACTTGCCCCCGTGTCGTGTCGCTCGGCGTTACCAGCGTCAGCCCCCCCCCCCCCCCGTCCTCACACCCCACCGCCCCGACCGCCCTCGCCGACGCCTGTGCGCTCGCCCCGACAGGACATCGTCAACAGCCTGGGCGCGTACGTGCAGAGCTTGTTCGTGCGCGACTCGTCGGGCGCTTTTTCCTCGGCCGGTGAGTGCCACTCACTCACGCCCGGTGAGTGCTGGGAGTTTCGGCGGGCTCTGGAGGCAGGGGTGCAGTTGGATGGGCCTCTAGAGCGGTGTGGCGGAGTGGTAAGGGCCGCCTGCTGTCGTGGGGGGGGGGGGGGGGGGCGTGGCCGCGATTCCAGACGTTGCAGCGTGATGTCTCGCATTGCATTAAGTGTTAGTGAGGGTAGTTTCTCTGTGTTATTTCACACGAGGCTCGGGAGTATGCATGAAGCTGTACGTTCGTTACTTCTACATCGTTTAGCTTTCGCATTGATGCCGTTCAAATAGCTAGCGACGCCAGCTTTCGACGCTGTCGATGCCTGTAAGCGCCAGCGGTGGCCGTGCTGACGGGCGTGCGCTGTGTGTGCGCGGCCAGCAGCGGGCTCGGCCGTGACGCAGGGCCATCCGCCGTCGCTGCTGGCCGGCCTGCCGGTGGGGCCGGGCGTCACGCCCCAGCCGGCCTTCTACTACCGCGGCGTCTGGATCCCGCTGGCCGTCTCGTTCCCGCCCGGCGCCACCAAGGCCACCTAGTGAGTGTGCCGCGAACCAGCGCGGCCGCCGCCCCGGGCGGGACTTGAGCCGATCACGCGCTGCCGGTCCCATCAGCCCCGTACAGAGCCGTATAAATCTCCGCGCCCACTATAAGCCGTCACGGCGCCAGCACAAGTGTGCTTCTGGTGAACAGTTGTGCGGATGGAGAGCTGTTGGGCGTTTCACGATCAGCGCTAAAATGGCCGCGATTCGACACACGAGCCGCAGAAGCTTTAAACCGCACGCGGCCGGGCGGCCGACCAAAAAGGTTCGCGGATGTGGAATTGATGCCCTGACTCAGCAATAGCATTGCTGGACAGTTGGCTGCTTTCTAGGCGCGGTTGTGGCGATGTCGCTTAACTTGCGCTTTTTTATGTCCGCATTGAGTGACCAAACGGCTGGTAAAACGCCCTTATATCGGGTGCATGTTATTCACTCCAATTGGACTAAACGCCCGTATGGTTTTTTATGCTACGACTCTCACGGTTTCGGCCCGATTGGCCTGTTTTCGAAACCCGCTGTTAAAATGGCGGCGTTAACCGCTTCCTCATCGATTTCTGACCTCCCGTGGGTCAGGCTGTTTTGAGTGTTTGAGTTTTCAGACTGCATTCGGTGACTTTATGTAGTTAACGTAATGTTCAAAATCACTGACCACTCCGGTTAGCAATACTTTGTGCCAGTCCTAACAAAACATGCTCGAAGCGGCGGCTCCATGGTCTACACTCCAGTACGCATGACCTCTTGACGGAGTGAGAATTGTCCGTTTCTTTCTCGGTCAAATCATTGCATCCTTGCACAGCTGCGGCCACGAGTGGTCGAACCACGAAAGCCTTCGTCTTGTGTTGTGCGCAACGCCACGCTGCGTCAAACATCGACCCAGCTGTGTGCTGAGTGTGCTGTGGAAGGTGCGCTGACCCGCCGGCCGCCGCCAGCCTGGAGATGCTGGACAAGATCGAGCCGCCTGTCGTGGCCGAGGGGTACGGCGCCTCGGTGGCCTACACCTGCCTCATCGAGATCGTCCGCTCGCTCTCGCTCATCACGGAGCGCGCCCTGCCGGCCGAGCCGGCGCCGGCTGCCGCCCCGCAGACCAGGTCAGTGCCCGGTCCGGATGGGGATCGCATACTCGGAACTGGTGCTGCAGTGGGAGGAAGGAGGACGTTTGTGACCACAGTGTTGGCGGTTTTCAAAGCGCAGCGCGTTGTGTGTCCTCGTTTATGGTGGGTCGCCTTATAACCCGTGTGAGGTAACGACTATACTACCTGGAAGATGATCAACAGGAACGGCCCTGGATTTTATCTCCGCTGTAATATCTTCTGGTATCGCTCTCGCCGCTCCGTTGGCATGCGCGCCACCCGTATCCCAGCTATATGTGACGTCTGTCCGATCGCTGCGCCGGCGGCCGCGCTTGCTGTGCGGCTGGCCAGCGCCGGCGGCGCCCTCGGGCGATAACGCTCGGCTCCCCGCCGCAGCAGTGAGCCGGCCCCGGCGGAGTCGGAGCCGGCCGCCACTGCGTCGGACGCGGCGACGGCGGAGGCGGCGGCGGCGGCCGACGCTGGCGCCGCCCCGGCCGCGGCGGCGGACACGGGCCGCGAGCTGAGCTGCCAGCTAGTCAACTCCAGCTGGTGCGGCCTGCTGGCGGCGCTCACCGTCCTGCTGGAGGCCAGGTGAGGCGGCGGGGCTACCGGCCGGTCCGACCGCACCCGGCCGGAGGCCAGCCCGGTCGCCGGTGCTGGCAGCCCGTGCTGATGGGCGCTACGCGGTGAGGTGAGGGGGCGGGGGAGCTGAAAGATCAGTAATCAGTAGTTTCGAAGTAGGTTGCAATGTGTAAGACCGTGGCGTACCTGCCAGTCTTACTATAGTGGTCATTAACGAACAAGCATGACGACGGTCCTTCGGGAGGATTCTTATCTGGTTGAGAGCGTAATCGGTTCGTAAGGTGCATTATTGGACTGAACCATGTGGCCGGCACCCGTGTAGTACCCGTGCCAGCCGTGCCGCCGGGCGAGCCCGACTGCATGGACGTGGCGTTCGCCGCGCTCGCCGGACGACGGAGCACCGCCCCCCTCTCTCCGCCCCCCCCCCCCCCCCCCCCGCCTTCTCGCCGCCACCGCCACCGCCACCGCCCGGCCCACAGCACGGACGAGTCGGCGACCGAGGCGATCCTGAAGGCGATGCAGACGCTGGCGCAGCTGGCCGGCCGGCTGGAGCTGACCACTCCGCGCGACGCCTTCATCACGGCCGCCTGCAAGGCCTCGTTGCCGCCGCACTACACGCTGACCGTGCTGAACCCGCAGCGCTCGCCGACGCACGGCCAGGCGCCGGCGGCCGCCGCGCCGCCGGCCGCCGCCGACGGCCTGGCGCGGCAGCAGGTGGTGGCCGTGGGCACGGCGCTGCCCACCGCCTCGCTACCCGCTGGTGAGACGGAGCGCCGGGCGACTAGGCCCCACCAGGCGGCTAAGGCTTCGATGTAGCACCGCCTGGGTTGTGCGGAAAGGGGATCAGTTTCTCTGAAGCGCTATGGAATCTCCCGGCATGGAATCTCACAATCGTCCCCAGCCACAACGACAGTGGCTGGGAGTGAGCTGAGACCTGTGGCGGTTGGGTGCGCCCGCGTGGCTTGTCAGTGAGTGGATGCTGACGACCCAGCACTGATGTCGGCGCAGCGTGCTGAATCACCATTTCGTAACACCGCTGCGCCTGTGATCGAAATAGAAGCTGTCGATACATTCGTCGCAGACACACACAATCACGTGTTGTTTCGTTTGTGCGGCCTAGGTGTCTGGTAATGTTTCGTTGTACTTCATGTTCGCATAGCAGGCATGTCTCGCGGGCCTGCACGGCGTGTGGGCGCCGCTCCGCCGTTATCTGACTTGTGACCGGACCTGACTTGACCTGACCTGACCTGACCTGACCTGACCTGACCTGACCTGACCTGGCCTGACCGGTGTGTCCGGCCTACAGCGGCGCACCAGGGCCCGGTGATGCTGACGGCCAAGAACCTGCAGTGTATGCGCGCCATCCTGGCTCTGGCGCACTGCCACGGCGCCATCCTGGGCTCGGCCTGGCACCTAGTGCTCACCACGCTGCAGGTGAGATGGCGCGCGCCCGTCGCCCGTCCTCGCGGGCCAGCCGGGGAAGCCTGAAGGAATTGTGTGCAGCGAAATTTTTCACATTGACCGCAAAGCGCAAACTGTTAGCTTGAATTATCTGGTAAACCAACTGGATTCTGGAGAGAAAGTTATCTGTTCGTTCGAATCGGTTGGGCCGATCTGGTGAAACCATACAACACTAATTCAGTTCCATCTGGATTTCTCACAGATAGCCGTGGGCTGTTTGCATGATTTGTTTTGGATTTTGTTCCCCGACGCTGCGACTTGCCCAACCATTTGAAGTATGCGTGTAATAAATGTTGACAAGAGTCACGTCGCGTCACGTGAGTCGGACGCCACACGTGACCGGAGCCGGCAGCGTGTCACACCGTCTGGCGACGGCCGCCCCACCTCACCCGCCGGCCGGCCGGCCCCTCCTCCGGCAGCACCTGGTCTGGATCCTGGGCCTGAAGCCGTCCACGGGCGGCTCGCTGAAGGCGTGCCGGCCGGCCGCCGGCAGCGGCGCCGGCGGCGGCGGCGCGGCCGGCGCGGCCGGTGCCCGACACGGCCGTGCTGACGACAGGCCGTGCTCGCCGACCTGCCCGTGCTGTCAGCCATGCTGTCGCGCCTGTTCGAGTCGAGCCGCTACCTGGACGAGGTGGCGCTGCATCACCTGATCGACGCGCTCAACCAGCTCAACCACGAGTCTATGGAGCTGGCCTTCTCCAACCGGGTGGGTGGCAGCGCCGGCCGGGCGCTTCGCGGGCGTTGGCAGGCCGAGTTGACCCCTGATCTTGTCCCTGACGAATGGTAGTGGCATGTTTAGTTTTACAGTACCACTCTTTTTGTTTTTGTTTGCTCTGCCGAGTGATTCTTAGGTGGGATTCGTAAACTTCTCGTTTTTTAGTTTGCGCCTTAGTTTGTTATTATTGCCTTAACGCTTCGTTCTGTGTTCTGAGCCGCGTGCATGTGGTTTGCTCCGAGCAATGGCCGTCGTTCCCGCAGCCCGTGTGCCATTTCTCACCCACCGCTACCGCCGCCGCCGCCAGGAGCCGTCGCTGTTCGCCGTGGCCAAACTGCTGGAGACGGGTCTGGTGAACCTGGACCGGGTGGAGGTGTTCTGGCGACCGCTCACCTCCCACCTGCTCGACGCCTGCCAGCACCCGCACCTGCGCATGCGCGAGTGGGGCGCCGAGGCCGTCACCACGCTCACCAGGTCGGCGCTGCAGCACACCTATCCCACCCCGCTCAAGGACAACCAGGTGAGCGGGCCCGGTGGGCGGCGCCGGCCAGCGGGAAGGCGCTGTGTGGACCGGAGCTCAGACTGCTCGCTGGGACTGGGCGTCTGCCTGGATTGTGCGTCGCTGTACGTCGTCTGGTAGCAATAACACCGATGCAGCTTAAGCGATGTGTTCTGATGTCCCTCGGCTGTCGTATTAGGTCGGGTAAGCAACGGTGCGCATAGTTGCCTGAGTCTGCGGCTACCAGAGCCCGCCGGCCGGATCACTGAGACGCGTGCCCGTCTGCGCGCGCCGGCAGAGGCTGCAGACGCTGCTGCTGACGCCGCTGCAGGAGATGTCGACCGTGCCGCAACCAGACATCCGGCAGCGGCAGCTGGAGTGCACGCTGCAGGTGCTGCAGAGCTGCGGCGAGCGGCTCTCGCACGGCTGGCCGCTCGTGCTCACCATCATCGGTGCCGTCAGCGACCGACACACGTCAGTGGCAGCGGCGGCCGGCCGGCGCCAGGCGCGCGCCGCCAGGCCGGCTCTGGCCAGCAGGCCCCCGCCGGTGCACGCTCGGAGGAGATGAGGGGCGGGCCTCCCAGTTCGTGTTCGGCTGGTCCGCTGGGATGGCCTCGTTTCTGGTCCATGGAATCATTGTCACACAAAGCGGCACAGCGTTCGCTGCTGTGGGTTGTTGCCGGCAGCTGGTTGGAATATGGCGTTACCACTGTTCCATGCCCCATCTTGTTCAGTCTTAACCAAAAAAGCATTGTCCCCCTTGCTTCCAAATTACGGAATGAAGTGCATTGAGCGCAAGAGTCCATACATAATTTCATATGCGCGTATCGAACTCGCGCTGAAGCTGTTTGGCTCTGCCCGAGAAAGTACAAACCATCGGTCAAATGCCCCACAGGGAGCAGCTGGTCCGGCTGGCGTCCCAGTGTCTGCAGCTGGTGGTGACCTTTCTCTGTCCCTCAGGGAGCAGCTGGTCCGGCTGGCGTTCCAGTGTCTGCAGCTGGTGGTGACCTTTCTATGTCCCTCAGGGAGCAGCTGGTCCGGCTGGCGTTTCAGTGTCTGCAACTGGTGGTGACGGACTTTTTGCCGGTGATGCCCTGGAGCTGCCTGCCTCCCTGCGTCGACACCGTGGCCAAGTTCGGCTCGCAGACCCAGGAGCTGAACATATCGCTCACCGCCATCGGACTCATGGTGAGTGGACGGACAGCCCCGCCCAGCCAGCCGCCGGCCCGCCGCCGGCCCAGTAGCGTCTCTTTAGTGAACCGGAATACTTGCTGACAACTTGTCTGTGATGGATTGATGATTTGGCGTCGATCAGAGGCCTGTATTTTGTACGTATGCCATCATCGCCTGGCTTGGAAAATCCTTTGACATCGACAGTAAAAGTCAGTTTCCGAAGGTTTAACGTAATCATGTAGACTTCCTGAATCCCTCCTGCATTTGGCGCACAGCAGCGCCGGTGACCCGCATAGCCACGCGCTTGCGGTTCGGTCTCGTCAGAGCCCGAGCGCCGTGAGCGGAGCCTAACCAGCGCCGTGTGTGCCGGCCGCAGTGGAACATCTCCGACTACTTCTTCCAAAGCCAGGACAAGCTGCGCAGCTGCCTGACGGCCGAGTCGGGCGTGTTCCCCGAGTTCCCGGGCGTGCAGAACATGCCGCCGTTCGACCGCCTCTGGATGTGCCTGTTCGCCCGGCTCGGTGAGCAGCGCCGGCCGGCGCCGGGACGCGCCGCGCGAGTCTGGGCAGGGGCCGCGCTCAAATTGTACGGCTGGCTACCGTCACGTGCAAAATGTACTCAATGGTTGGTGTTGGGAATCGTTATTCGTGTCATGTTCTTGTAGTCTGTAGTCTCACTAGTATGGGCCTTTGTGCCGATGATTTTTGCGGTTCTCCTGTGTCAGCGGGACCCTGTGTAATAACCGGCAGGTGACCTGTTGACTTTTGTGACTGACCCCGTTTTCCCCCGTCTACGACAGGCAGGAGACCGGTGTGTCATGAGTTCTCTGCTCCAACCCTGACTCTAGAGCACGACTGACCGGTGACCTGCGTATCGTGACCTCTCTGTGGCTAACGCCGAGGTCAGGGGCAGATGACCTATGTATCGTGACCTCTCCGTGACAACGCTGACGTCGCCGACAGGCGACCTGTGTGTGGACAGCCGGCCGGCCGTGCGGAAGTCGGCCGGGCAGACGCTGTTCTCCACCATCGCGGCCCACGGCTCGCTGCTGCAGCACAGCACCTGGCAGGCGGTGCTCTGGCAGGTACGCACGCGGCACTGAGGGCCGCTGCCGGGCCGACGCCTGCTGGGAACGGGGACGCAGCCACGCGCGCCGACCAATCGCCACGGGAACGTTTTTGGGCTTCGTGATGGCCTAAGTTAAGGGCGCACGGGGCGGGGAACTTCGCACCGCACTCGACATTTCGTCCCAACAGCGTATCGATGGCTTGTCAGCGTCGTGATGAACAGGCCGATGTCTTGATGTTGACTTCAGTCGAACAGGCCGGCCGTGTGTTGTTTGTCGCGACGCTTTGTGACCAGTGGGTCAGCATCGGAGCGTGTCCGCGACGCTCGGTGACCGTGCCGCGCGCTGCCGCAGGTGCTGTTCCCGCTGCTGGACAAGGTGCGGACCCTCTCTGGCTCGGCTAGCACCGAGAAGGACGACACGGGCGGCAACATCCTGATCCACCACTCGCGCAACACGGCACACAAGCAATGGGCCGAGACACAGGTACGGCGCTACGCTCTTTCCGTCCGCGGGCGGTCGGCTGGAGCGGCGGGGCAGGGCACGGCCACGGCTTTGGTCCCAGGTCGGAGCGAGTGGGACGGCGGGACGGGGCGCGGCCGCGACTTCGTTCCCAGGTCGGGGCGGTGTGGAGCGGCGGAGCGGGGCGGCGGGGCGGGGCGCGGCGCGCTTCGTCCCAGGTCGGGGCGGGTGGGGCGGCGGGGCGGGGCGCGGCCGCGGCTTCGGTCCCAGGTCGAAGTGGGTGGGGCGGCGGGGCGGGGCGCGGCCGCGGCTTCAGTCCCAGGTCGGAGCGGATGGGGCGGCGGGGCGGGGCGCGGCCGCGGCTTCGGTCCAGGTCGGAGCGGGTGGGTGGTGATGGTCACGATGCTACGGCTGAGCGGATCGGTCGCCGTCACCGTCGCCGTTGCTGCTGCCGTTGCTGACCCGGCTGCCGCTGCTGTCTGCCGACTGCGGCTCTGGGCGCGGCTCGCCGGCGCTGTCCGCTGGAGCCGGCCACCGTTACTCGGTGCGCCAGCTGACGCCGCCGTCCGGTGCGCCGCCCCAGGTGCTGACGCTGTCGGGCGTGGCGCGCGTGTTCCACTCGAAGCGCTCCATCCTGTCGGCGCTGGCCGACTACCAGCGCGCCTGGGCCCTGCTGCTCGAGTTCATACAGAACGCGGCGCTCAACGAGAACAACGAGGTGAGGGCAACAAGGAAGAACATCACACCGACAGTCGACCCTCCGCCCCCGGCACTTCCGCCCGACGGAGGTAGTAAACCCTTGAGTCATCCAACGACACTTCACATTTTATTGGTCCTCGAATGCTCGTCAGCTCTGCTCCTTGTACGTGACCCTCCTGTCTCGAGCTGATAAAACTCAGAGGAAATGCATGAGTGATACAGAACTGCCATTGATGTAATAAGCTATATCTGTTTGGGGGTTGTTTAGGCGATGACAAGCTGTCGGAATGTATATGAGATGTGCGGCGATTTGAATGGTGTGGCTATTGTGTGAGGATTACCCCATGTGTTGTCATCTGTCGATTTTATCGACCATCCCTTTCATTGGCACTGACTGGCTGAATAGGACACTCGATTAAGCCGTTTCCCCTCCCAGCTTTTACGATCAGTCACCGTGTTAAGCGATCGCTGCAAAGATAACTCCGCGTACATAAACCCTTCAACACCACTTGGTGATGAAGTGGTCCGGTCGGTCACGCTCGTGTACGTGTCCTCACGGAGCTCTCCAATCGAGAGCTTCGTGACAGACGTGCGATGTTGATCGGAGAGCCAACAGCACTTTCCTTCGGCGTCACGGGACAGGCCGCCGTGGAATCACATACAAGGCTGTTATTAACTTTGTGTCGCGCGACGCTCAGAAACTCATTGCAAGGGAGATTATTCCACCATGTTTTCTTCGATGCGATCTTGTGCTTTTTAAACTTGGTTGTTGCAAGCAGGACAAAAATGAACGGTTTTAATGATCATGGTAATTAGATTTCCCACATTCCCGACATGATTTACACCAACAACCAACCGCCTCATAGTCTTCTTGGTGTTCCCCTTTTGTCGTGCGAACTGTGACATATCGTGTTCGTGGTGTCGCCAGGTGTCGCTGGCCGCGCTTAAGTCCTTCCAGGAGATTATGTCGTCGAGCAAGGCGGGCGCGGACGCCGCGGACGTGGCGCTCCTGCAGGAGGATGAGGCCCAGGTCAACTGGAGCGCCGCCTGGCGGGTACGTGCGCCGTCCGCTCGCCGGGCTCGGCCGGCACGGAGCGAGGTGTGGTGCTGATCTCTTGCTGCTGGGGATTAGGGGCTGGTTGGCGGCGGCTGCATGTCACAGTTCCTAGATTATGGCCGCTGCTTTCTTTCGTTTGTCGTTAATAAGTTTTGACGGACCTAAACACGACCTGTCACTAGGATGCACGTGAAAAAGGCCGATGGTAGTCACTGCTTCGAAAGTTAACACCACACCTTATTTTGAAATTCGTAGAGAACCCGATCGTGGACGTCCGTGATTCCGTGCAGCTCTGAACAGTTAGTTGTACACGCAAGCGCTTTTGTAAGTCGAATAACGAATTGTTCATGGATTGGGAAAATGCTTGAAACTGTTCGGAACTCTTACAATGTGATTGGCTTTCGCAGACCTATTAGCATGGCGAAAACGCTAGCTGAAGCAATGCGCCAGTAAGTGTTTTCGACAACCTGAACACGTCACGGACTGCTGCCAGTCGCTCCTGGTTCCAGTTTGCATCAGGGCGGCCACAGGCGACGCCTCTGGTCGCCTTGTGGCGGTATGATCCGCATCAAGAGCTGCGTTGCCACCAGCCCGCTGTTGACCCGGCTGCCCGTGACCTCAGGTGTGGCACAGCATCGGCAGTGGCGTGACCGAGCCGCCCCCTCCCGGCGGCCCCGCCTCCGACGTGTTCGTGCCGTCCCAGCCGTTCCTGACGGCGCTCGTGCAGATCTTCCCCGGCATGTTTCAGCATATCAAGTCCAGGTCAGCGACTCTGCCTTGTTTCCCTTGGGGTGTTCGGGGCAGCGTGGCGAATTCAAGGCGTCGAGACGATGTGAGTTGAACAGTGTACGAATTATTTGGGTATCATTACGGTCTTCTATAGTGTTGCACTATGCGCACTCACAGTGATGTGACATGTCTCCGTAAGTGCTTACCAACCATTCTTCATGCACGTGCCAGTCTGAACTGCCGGACGGTGCCGTTGGGTTTGCATAACAGAGATACCTGTGTCTTAACCTAAGAGCGAGCCCGGCGATTAGCCCGCGCCGGCTGACGGCGCCAGCTGACGGCGCCGGCTGACGGCGGCCGCAGGTTCCACTCAGAGGACCTGGCCACGTTGTGCGCCATCCTGGAGCGAGCAGTGGCCGTGCCGGTGCACGGCGAGGCGTCGCCCTTCATCCTGCCGTCGCTGACCGAGGTGGTGCTCACTAAGCTGCAGGAGGCCGTGCTCGCCTGCCTCGACACTGTGGAGCAGGTGAGGACGGCGCCGGCGGCGGCCGCGGCGATGGAGCAGGAACGGGGACGGCCGGGCGGGGCCGGCGGAATTTGATCGGAACACGAGGCGAATAGCAAATTTGGGACTCGAAGCTGCTGTGCCCTGCAGCTGTACTGTATAACAATTCGTCGCTCTTGTTACATGTTCTGGTACAACTAAACAGGAGTTACGTTCTTGTGATCTGATTGAATAAAAGCGCCGATTATCTACTTGGCCAAGTTCAGCAATAGCTACCGGAGTTTTCCAGCTCTCGCCGGTGAGGCCTGGTTTTGCTGACCGATCTGCCGCCGCTGTGTGCGTCGCAGGGGGCGCTGTCGGGCGCGGAGCCAGTAGGCCAGCTGGTACCGGCGCTGTTCGACCAGCTGCTGACCTTCTCCCGGTACGGCTGCCGGGCGCCCTCCTACGGCGACGTGGCCACGCGGCCGGCCGGCCTCGTCAGGAGCAAGGTACCGTCGCCGGCCCGCCGGCGCTCGCGAGTCAGCGGCCCCGCTCCAGTAGCGGTCCTCTCTCTACGTTTCACGCGTGTGGGAGCCGCGTGGGCCCATGCGACCGCTGCGGTCTGCTGGGTCCGGCTCGGCAGTGTGGCGACGTCTCGCGCTGTGCCGTACACCACGCGTGCTGTTGGATGGGATCGCCGGCCACCACGCGCCACGGCTGCCGCCGACGGGCCGAGCCGCCTGAGCTGGCTTGTGGTGTTGCCTGACGCCGACGACCGCCGCTGTCCGCAGACGACCGACTGGGTGGCGATGAACTACGTGCCGTTCGCCGAGGCCACCATGCGCCGCGCCACCGCCCTGTACCGCGCCACGGCGCGCCGCACCGACGTCATCGAGACGCACGTGCTGGAGAAGATCATCCAGGTGAGGCGTGGGGGCGGGAGCGGGGCAGGCGCTGCGGGGTCAGCCGGGGTCATCGCCGCCTCCAGAGGGGTTAGGAAACGACCTTTGAGACAGGGACGACTGCAAATCGAGTAGCGCCCTCTCGTTACTGTGGTGTGAATTATATACTTTTGGACGGTTTACCGACGTGTTCAAATGCTCACCAGTTTATGCCAGTAGTTCACATCAGCTGTTCCGCGGATGTCTACGAAACATGCTGAGTTGGAGGATTGAACCGCCGACCTTCACGTCACCGCCTCCCCCTGCGCCGCGCCGGGGAGTTGTCCCTGCGCCGGCCGAGACCGACGCCTGAGCGGGCGCCCGCAGACGCTGGAGCTGCCGCTGTCGCTGAAGTACGCCTGCCCGGCGCCGACCACCTGGCGGCTCGCCGTCGGCTGCCTGCTGGACGTGCTGAAGGAGGGCCTGGTGACGGCGCGCCAGTACCGCCAGCACAGCCAGAACGTCTGGCCTCGGCTGGCCGCCTGTCTGGAGGCGTTCCTCTTCTCACAGAGGTCAGCCACCTCCGCTGCCTCCAGTGGGCCGGGCCGCTGGGCTCGTTTGTTTGTTTATGATGGCGTTAGAGTTGTGGCGACTGGCTCTGTTTGTGTCTGCTAGATATGGCGGCTCACCTTTCTGGAATACAGCCAGCATATGACGGACTGGTGGTACCGGCTATATGTAACTGTCCTCCGTCTGGCATTGGGCTCGGTGGCAGAGCGACCGGTGTTCGGGGAAGAGGGAAGGGGAGGAGCGCCGCAAGTCACCTACCAGCTTGCGTGCGCATCGATTGCTCGTGCACATGTCAACCGCCTGTATCGCGATTACACCTGTCGGTGGCGCCTCTGCGAGCGGCCCCAGCGGCCGGCGCGGGCGAGCCCGGCGGCCGGTGACCCGTCTCCCGCCTGCGGTGCCGGCAGCGAGCCACCGTCCAGCCTGACGCCGGAGGAGCAGCAGGCGGACGAGGCGCTGGACTGCGAGGTGGTGCGGCTCATCCGCGAGGACGTGCTGCCGCACGCGGCCGTCGTGCCCGGCCAGTTCCTCGTGTCGGTCATGGTGCTGCTCAACAAGGGCTCGCTCCACTCGGCGGAGCACGAGAGTCTCGGTCAGTGGCCGCCGTGGCGCGGGGGCGGGCGGTGCTGACTGGTGCCTCTAAAAGGAAACCGGTATAAATAAATAAACGCGTGCGGATGTTCGAAAGTTGGCAACAGTCTTTGGCGCGTTTGTGGTATGCTGATGCAAAATGTCAAGTGGAGTTAGTAGTTAATGAATTTTCCAAGGTATGCTATGATGAATCTCTTTGCAGGATGCAAAAGAGCCATGGTGGCCATTTGGGCATTGCTTCCCTAGAGCAGTGCGTTTTGTCTCGCGTGTTGGCTGTCTGGCCACGCTTTCAGTCCGGTGTGCGCTCCCAGCATGTCCAGGGATCGTCTCCCGTGTGATCGCTTACGTCTTGCTCTGTGCGTCCACTTCTTTGACCCCCCTCCCCTCCCTCTCAGCAGAGAACGGCACGGCGCGGCTGCGCGAGGACCTGGCCAACGCGTGCTTCGAGACGCTGCTGCAGTTCTCGCTGCAGCCGGGCCCGGCGGCGGCGGCGCGCGCCTCGGCCGACGGCGGCGTCACCTCACAACTAGCGGTCGCGGCGCTCGTGCACCGCTTCCGCGAGGTGCTCGTCGGCTTCGTGGACGACGGCAAGCTGGCTGGAAAGTGCCCGCTGCCCAGGTGAGGGGTGCCGGGTCAGGCGGGGTCACATTCCGCTCCTGCTGCCGTTCGAGTGTCAGTGTCCGAGCCTCGGAGGAGCTGGCTGTCAGGATGTTTGTGCGCGACCAATGAGACTAGTTCGCGGTGGTTTGCGTGTTCAGTACTCAACAACACGTGCTGAGCTCACACACCATCATTCATCGTCCATCGTTGCTGCATCGTGCCATGGTGCTGCAACGGCGCTGTCAGGGCAGTTGCTTTCAGAGGTATTCCCTTGTAGCGGTCAGGTATTCGGCATTGTGCCGGCTGTGTTAGCCCCCCGGGCGCCGATAGCTGTCGCTGACGCTCTGCAGTGATTGCTTTCCCAGGCACCGCATGGCCGAGATATCGTTTGTGCTGAGAGCCATCACCTCACTCATCTCCTCCCTGAAGAAGGTGGACCCGAACACAGGTGAGCCAGACGGACTCCTCGCTCCCGGCACACGCACACGACTCCGTGACCGCTGTCATGACCGCAGCATGCACGGGTTCGTACGGTGGAATGGAACGCGGGTTTGTTACCCGGCATTGACAGTACAGCGGCGAGAGATTTTATCGCGTCTGTGCGGTGAGCTATGCTAGCCCGTGATGAGACAGATGCGGCCGCCCCCAGTCGTTCCCCACCGCTAGTCGCAGCCCGTTCTGACCCGTACCGGCCGTCGGGCAGTGGACGAGATGACCTGGCAGCAGCTGGTGGGCCTGTACCCGCCGCTGGTCAGCTGCACGCTGCTGGCCTCGGACCAGGTGGGCCGGCCGCTGCACGACGCCCTGCTGCAGTACGCCGACCTGCTGCGGCCGCCGCCCGCCGCCGCCGCCGCGCACAACGGCCGCTCGTAGCCGGCCCGGCCCGGCCCGCCGCCGGAGCTGCGCCCCGGAGCGTCGCCTGCCGGAGCGCCCCCGGATCCAGAGCGCGGCGTGCTGTGAGGAGGGGTCGTCGCGCTGCCAGTCCGGCGGCCCCCGCGGCTGACGGTCCCCCTGCGAGGCCCGTGGCTCCCTGGTGCGGCGAGCGGCAGTGCGCAGGCCCGGCGGTCCCGGCGCTGGTGATACTGTTTTGTTAGTGTTGTTCACGACGAAGCCACTTGTTTTCGTGTCCTGCGTGTGACTTGGGACGCTTTGGGAGCAGCGCGGTGGGTCGACCGCTGGGAGCTTTGGTTCGGCCTGAGTGCGGTTTTGAATTCGCGCGATGGACGACCGTGTGGAGGAAGCGAGGGTCGGCACCGATTAAGACATTCCATCCAGGGCTGGCTAGGTGTCGCGCCTTTCCCGCGCGCTGGGACATGCTTTTGCGAGAGCCGGGGGTTACCTGCCGATCCAACTCCTCAGCATGTCGTGCTGCGGAGACCACGTGCCCTGTGACACCGTCTCGCATACTCGACTGGGCGAGGGTTTTCTGTTCTGTACGGGAGCTTTCGGGGCTTTTGGAAACCACCGCCCGCGATCAGCTGTCTTGCCGTCCAGCGGCCGCGGTGCAGCTCGACGGACGTCACGCACGGGGAGTGACCGTCTCCGGTGTCTGCAGTTTCGCTTCAGTATGTGCATCTCACAGCCGCTACCCGTTCCAGAGGCTTTCGAAGCCCGCGAGACGCCGGGCGTCCGTCCTTCCCGTTTATTGGCGTTGCGACAGACACCGGCGGCCTGTACAATAAAATGCCCGGACCGCAGGGCGACGCGTCCCGTAACAAGGCCCATATCAGGGTGTGGCGCCGCCGGCCGTGGCGGCGACGCCGGGGGACAGGGGCGCGGACACACCACATTATCACACCGTCGGCGCGTGTGCCGGGCCCTCCATTTGTAGCATGGATGATGTCGGTACGTGGCGTGGGTGAATACACTGTGTACCCGAGCGGCGGCCGTCTCAGAACTCCAGGTTGATGTTGCGCTCCGGCACGTGGCTGTGCATGAAGGCCGCCTCGTTGCCGCGGATGGAGAGGATCTCGCTGTCCAGCTTCGGCCCGCTCCGCTCCTGGAACGCGGCGCGGTCGGGTCAGGCGTCGGCGAGGCGCGGCCCCGAACGCCGAGGCGTCCGGCTCGCACTGCGTTGACGGGGCAACGGCGGGGATGTGCAGGACTGAACGGCCCACCAGCCCGCCCACTCCGGACACGCCTGACGTCAGCCTGAACATCGGCGAAGTGTACTTATCCCCCCCCCCTGGCGTCCTCACGCTCAAAATTGTAATCCGATCAGCAGTGCCGCGTGCTTGCCCAACGTCCGGACGGCATCGCAATAAACGAAATGTCAGTCGCACGTGTAGGAGCGTTCACAACGGCTATGCATCACGCCGTAAAAGCAAGGTGCGGATCCAGTGCGGTGAGGTACATCACAACCATACAGGCAGACGATGCGCACCCTCGCGGGACGCCACGGAGCAGCACACGCCTGCCCTGACCTTGCCCATGGGCGCCTTGACCCATATCTCCTGGCCGCAGTTCTTGCAGGGCAGCTGAGGCAGCTTGTCCAGGCTGATGGTGCGGCTCTTGCAGTTCTTGCAGCTGAAGAACCGCTTGACGGCGTCCACGAGCACCGTGCCGTGGCCCTCAGACTTGCACAGGTCGGATGCGGACAGCGCCCGGTACTTGCACTGCGAGGGACCCACCACCATTTACTGGTCAATGCCGTGCTGAGAACACTCGAGTATCATGGCCACACGAGGAATGCTCTCCTGTTCGGTGCTTTCATGTGATATGGAAAGCCGTTGTGCTAAGGCGTTCAGGAGTGCGGTGGCAATGCTGCTTTGAATAAGGGCACGGTCGAACTGAAAGCAACGGTGATAGGCGCAAAGCAGCGCATTGAACTAGAGCTAGAACTTTTTATTGAACTAGAAGTCCAACTCGGCTTCCGTACTTTGCAAACAACGCTGGCAAATGTGCCAGCGGAAACGGAAGGGGCACGTCAGCACTGCCAATGGGCAAGATGGGTCCCAAAGTCGGATGGTGTGGTGGTCAGTTCGGGACAAGAAACTCTTCACACACGGCTCGGACTAAGCAAATCACATTTGTCACATGAGTGCAGACTTGACAGGGACGGGAGAACAGTCCCGCCGCCCGTGTCGGCCGACCGGCGGCGCGTGCCCACCTTCCGACAGTAGACGGCCTTGGTCTTCACCTCCCACGTGCTAAGCATCTTATTCTCGATCAGCTCCTTCTTCTCGAGCGCCTGGAAGTAATGCTCCTGGCCCTCGGAGAGCTCGGCTTCGAGCGCGGCCGCGTGCGACGAGCGCGCCTCGAGCACGGCCCGGAAGCGCGGCTCGTCCACCAGCCGCGGCCGCTTCGCCGGCGGGGCGGGCACCTCGGTCGCGTCCGCTGCAGGGAACGGTACCGTCAACACCGGCGCGGGACGGCGAAAACACCGAACGTGGGTCAGCCAAGCCATTTGTGTGGAGGTGTCGGCGCTGAAAATTTAGAACCTATTTATATCTGTTGGAATGCAGAAACAGCTGATGTCATGTAAGTGGTGACCGGCAGTGTTGCCAGGAGTAAATATGTTAGCCGGAATGACGAAGATACATTCAACCAAATCGCTCAAATGCACCCAGAAAACGTGGCCGATGGAAAATACCGAACTGCGGTACGGCATTTGTTCCAGCAGTAGTACCGTACAACCAAACTTTGCCTTACCGTGCTGCTGTACGTTAACAGTGCACTGCTGCAGGTGCTGGGGACAGATAATCTACTCGCGAAGGCAGACACATTATCACCCAACATCGACACACAATCGGCCCAAACACGTGCTGACCGCGCGGCCAGGCCGGTGCCGAGCCGAGCGAGCACCGAGGCGCTGAGTCGAGCGCCGAGCACCGAGCACCGGCGCCTCGCACCCACCCGGAGTGTTCTCGTCGACCCGGCGCGCCACGCGCTCCAGCACGGCCTGCCGGCTCTGCCCGCTGGCTCGGGCGCGGACAGCGTTCGGGTTCGCCTTCTTCACGCCGCCCGACTGTCGGAGCAGGGCCACGGCCCTGGCCTGGGAGGAGGGGAGGGCCCGGGTCAGAGCGGCGGCGGTCGGCCCAGCGACGGACGGGCGGTGACGGCGCCCGACCATGTACATGCGGAGCTGGTCTCAAGATTAGTCAGCATCGCGACAGAAGTGGACTGAAAAGAAGACTGGGGAGGTGATCTTCCAATCAAGCGCTGACTAACTGACTTCCAGTGATGTGGAGATTGCAAAGCACAAACTGAAAGGCTTCGCCCAAATTGCCCTCAATGAACAGCAATCCGTCTGGACTGAACAACACAGCACACCAGCCAACCAGATCCGGTCGGCAGAATTACACAACCCCTATAGCCCACAGCAGGCTTGCATGACCCGACCCAGCTGCCGAGGCAGGGCGGCTCACGCCCCTCCTCACCTTGTTGAGCGCGGCGGCGGTCGCGCCGGGCCGGCCGTCGTCCAGCTCCACCTGGTGCCCAGGCGGCACGTGGCGCGCCAACCGCGGCGCCGGCAGACGCTGGTCGGCCTGGCGGCGCGCCTCAGCCCGCAGCAATGCGGATGGTGCGGCGGGCGGCGCCGCCGCCGGCCGCCGCTCGTCGCTGAGGTCCGAGGAACTCGCAGCCGACGCATCGGCCGTGAGGTGCTTCAGCAGGTTGCGCGCGCCGGCGCAAGGCTTCAGCAGCATCTCACCTCTGGCGGCGGACAGGTCAAGACTGTTCTGCTACGCCTTCCGCAGATAGTGGATAGGTCTGCCGCCCCCTCCGCAGAGGGGAGAGCAAGTGGACGAACGATCCCAAAGGATCCAAACGCGCGGCAAGGAATAAGACAAACACACTAACATCACTTCAGTTTTTGTCAGGCCCTGTGCACAAGAAGCAAGCTCGGCTGGTGTGACGTGCAGCGGCTGTGCAGAGCCCGTACTCACATCTCCACGCTGTCCTCAGCCACGGTCGCGATGGCCTTGGCCTCCGCCTGAGAGATGTGCTTCAGACCCAGCGAGCTCAACTGCTTCTTCTTCGCTGTCAGGCTCTCCTCGCACTGCAGGCACAGCGTGGGCATGACACCAGCGACCGGGAATGCCCCGCGGGTGGCGTCGGTAATTGCCGGAATGCCAGTCAAAACAGATGCAAAAGCAGTTTTGAGTTCATACGAACAACGCGCCTCAGGCATTTTTTAAGGCGGTCAATAGCAAATCAACTTGGAAAACAAAACCAATCGATTCCCCACAGGCGTATGCCATGGGATTCGTAGTCCACCTGCTTCCGTGCACAACGCTTCACCATCTGACCTTTCCTCCAAAAATGACCCTAGCATGTCAATTATATAAAACCGAACTAAAGTGTTCGCTACAACCTAACTTCCCACGTTTTTATACCACCAGGCTCGCATGGTTTTAGCCGCAGTTGGTCTGCTTCTCCGCCACAGATTGACTCCCACGTCCTCCCGCGGCGGTCCGCCGGCCCGCGCTCAGGCCACAGCGCGTGCGCCTCTAGCGGTCGCAGACGGCAGCTCCCGTGCCGGCGACGCCTGGCGGCGGCGGCTGACCTGTTTCTGCAGGCGCAGGCTGCCGAGCCGCTGCCGGTCGCGCAGGCGCTGGGCGGCCGTCTCCGAGTGTCGGGCCGACGAGGCGGCCGCCAGCTGACCCTCGTGCAGCAGCGCCCCGCCGCCCAGCTGACTCTTCATCGGCCGGCGCGGCGCCACACTCGACATACCCTGCGGCGGCCGACGCGGCGCTACGTCACGGGCACATCGGGCGCAGACCCTTAACTGTCACGACACGAGCGCACTGTCACGAGCGCGCCGGGCACGGACCCTGAACACGGCGGTGGTACACTGGCTGATGTGGCTGCTGTGTGCGTGGAGGGGATCGGGACGTGCCCCACCATCAGCTCCGTTCTGTGCGTTTACAAAGCGCAGGGGAGGGCCATGGTGAATAACCCATGGATTGTCACAGGAGCGGGCTTGAAAAAACGCTGTGGTAACAGCCAACGTTCCCGACATGGCCGCGGAACGACTCGCATGGTTAAAGCAGCCGGAGCCAAGAGCCACCAGACTCAATGGCATCGATGCCACCGATTTGACGCAAGGTGAAACAGTCACAAAAACAAGCATGACTGCCACCACACAGGGACAATCACGCCCGCGGACGCCCGGCGGTCCGGCGGTCCGACGCCCCCTCCCCCCCCCCCCCCCCAGTCCGGAGACGACTCTCACCTGCAGCTCGCCCCGCTTGGCGCCCGTCTTCTTATACTCGGCGTTCATGTGGAACACGCAGACGGGACAGTGGCGCTTGTTGATGAAGCTCAGGCAGATCCGGCCGTTCTTACACCTGCAGAGGCGGTGACGTCACGCCGTCACGTAGTACTCGCATGCGGCGAAGACGGCGCCGACTGAGGAGCTATCAGCGCTCAAAACAACCTCGATGTTCGGCTGAGTGGATACAACTGGGCTGTTTCGCAGCACGGCAAACGGTTGCCCGGTAGGGAGGTCATATCGGAGGTCGGCTAAATTTTGTCGTGAGAGTGAATGACCCGCAAGGTAGCGAGGGCAAGTGTTCTCCTGCACCTTGGGAGGCAAAGAGCATTACAGAGAGGATTGCCCAAACTGAGTCGACGCCACATACAGGAACATTGGGTGACTGCCAATCAGTCAGTAATGCTCACTTGGCCTTGCAGAAATCCAGATCGGGTGAAGTGCCAAGCATTATGCAGTGTTTGGCGGAGTTCACGGACAGAGTTATCCCTGATCCGTCCATTTCTCTGCAACCGGGTCATCAGCCAAGTCACAACCACAATTCTTCAGCCCGGATGGCGTCACGGACGCTCTGTGTTTCCGAAAGTAACCTGTGTCGACATTCTGACCTGGTAAGATTTGCATCAGAGAACAAAATACAACACACAATGTACTGTAATGTTTATGCGGCATTGTCATACTGGAATTCACGTAAGATGTGCGTTTGCATTATCAAAAGCAAAAAGATCAAAAGTAACCAATAGCAAGAGGGACGACGCACTAAAGAGTCTGCAATGAACTGTAAACTGAAATGTCAACACAATCAAATCTAGTCCCTCCAAAACACAGCCGACTGACTTCGCTGAACCACCACCTTCTCTAACCCAGCGTCACTCCATCCCAAAGACGTCCTACCCGCCGAAGCCAGTCCCTCCGTCCACCTACTTCTCCTTCATGACCTTGCAGCCGGCCAGCGCGACCACGGTGCCGACGGAGGTCTTCCAGAGGCCGCCGTGGGCGTCCCCGAACAGCATCACCTTGGCCGGCTTCTGGCAGTCGATGAGGTCGGTCAGCGTCCAGGAGGAGTAGGTCGAGCCCTGAGGACGAGCCGGCCAGCCGGTCACAGGGCCGGCAATCTCAGGCGGAGGCACAGTCTCAGGGTCGCGTCGCCGGCTGTCCGGTCCACCAGCGCCGCCCAGCTCTTAAAAGTAGCTCTGCGGCTACGGCCGGGACCACATGGGTGTTCATTTCCTCGATCCTGTCCGACTTGCCGTGCACCGGGCGGGCCCGTGATGGCTAAATCAGCAGTGACACAGCCTGACAACGTCTGCCAGCTGAGGCGCACACCCGTACAACCGGCCCGAGCCCGCTTCGCCGCACCCGCGGCCCCCGACGCGTCCCGAGCCGGCTCCCCTCCGCACCCCGCACTGACCTTCTGTGAGGTGCGCGGCTCGGACTTGCGCGCGATGACGCCGATGGTGACCCAGTCGCCGGGTATACCCTCCCCACGGACGTGACTCCCCAGCTGGCTGATCCGGATCAGCTGCTTGTCCTGCATGCAGTCGCGCAGCTCGGCCTGCGAGAGCCGTGGGTTGCTGCGGCACGTGAGCGCGGCCGTCACACGTGGCGCCGTTCACCGCGTAGCATCCACACTCGGACATTCACGCATTTAGTGCACATGAGGACGGAGCGAGCCGATACAGAAGTGTTTTAAAACATGTCAAGTGCGGAGCTCGACACAATTACGTCGATGTGCCATAAATACGTGCACAAAAAACATAGTTGGCATTAAACGTCTTTGCCGCAGCCGGCGACACCAATGGACACACACAGCCACGCATGACGACGTCACAGGCGCACTCACATCACGCTCATGCGGGCGAACGAATCCAGCATGACTTCCTCGTGCGGCTGCTCGGGCGCCGCCGGCCGGCCGCCATCGGCGCGGCGGGCCGCCACCTTCGGCCGCATCTCGCGCTTGGTGGCCCGGTTCACGTGCTCGGCGCGCTCCTGGAGGCGGTCGCGCGCCGAGCTGGAGGCGGCGCCGTGCGCCAGACGCTTCACCTGGCGCCCGAAGTCGTTGTACTTGGTCTCGAACGGCGTGCGGTTGTCCTCGTCCTCGCTGGAGTCGGTGTCGCCGCCGTGCACGTGGCTCTGGGGCCGGCGCAGCATGGCGCGCAGACGCTCCTCGCGCGCGCCGGCCTCCGCCGAGGAGGACGGCACGTCGCGCACCACGCGCGCCGCCACCAGGCCCGTGGTATCGAGGAACTTGGACTTGTTCGGCGAGGCTGGCTTCTTGATCTTGCTGACAACGTCCTGGAGACTTTGGGCGCGGACTTGGCGTGCTTCCTCTTCCTTCAGCATGGCCAGCTTGGCCTCGAGAGCTTGGATCTCGGTCTCAGTTGGGTCGTCTTCGTCCACTGCCGCTGCAGCCCTCATCGGCCCGTGCCTCGTCATCAGAGAGTGTCAGATCGGACTCGACCCTCTGCAACGCTACATCTGACACAGCCAAGGCTGCTGAGGCTGGCTGGAACTGTGTCGTGACGAGGTTGACGCGGATGTGGGAGACGCTGCCACCGCGTCCAATGACACATTTCTTGGCTTGCTTCTGTAGGCTATCATCAACATCAAATGTCTTTCCAGCAGACATGGAAATTTTTCCCTTCAAATTTATCTTGCAGATCTTGCTTTTCTGCTTTATCAGGTTCGCTGGTCACATCCTTGTGGGATCCACCACCCTGAGTAGCATCTCCAGTATCACCATCAACCAAAGCAAACAACCCATCATCATCTTCATCCTAGGAGAGCAGCAAGATCCTCCAGAGCTAGGGCTGAAAAGAATTGCTTTTATCAGATGAAAAGTAATACAGCAGCGCCCACATAAAAAAGAAGGGCAGAAGGAAACAAATAGAGAAGAAAGGACTCAGAGAAAGAAGATGTTTGCCATAAGATTTCTGGAGCCTTTCATTCATAGTTTGTTCCAGTGATGGTATTCTGTGGAGCACATTACACCTGAATAATCTGTCAAGGCGTTTGGGAGTGGAACTAAAAACAATGCAGGACAAATACTTGATGAAGATAGTGAGCAAACTATTCATGCATCCTTACTGTCATCTTCCATGCTGCAAGGACTGGTTGTGATGTCTGATTAAACAAAGATAAGTCAGGTCATAAAATTGGAATGCAAGAAATGGCCATGTTTTAAAGCAGCTTGGTTTGATCAGATAACATATTGTACCTAAGTGCTTTAGAAAAGTGGATGGGACCAGCTAGTGGAACAGGGACTAGTTAATGAGCAACCACACTTCATGGCATGGACATTATGCAAGCCATATTTTAGGCATGACATTTGACTGCAAAAATCTGAATGGTAGCGGGCTCAGGATCATGGGGCTGGCCAGAGTGCAGTATGACATCTTATCAACTCAGCTAAACTGGTTGGAGGGCAAGCAGTGCACCAAAGGGCATATGTCTGTGCAACCCTGTTATTAGCTCATCCACACATGTCATCATGACATAAAACAGAGGAGTATGTTGATAATATGATAAAATCAAATGCCAGTCATCAGTTCATATGGTCACAGCCATCACCTATGTGCACACACTGTGACACAAACTTGGACACATTATTCGCTCATGTCTTTCCTTGCTAGCAGTATCTTCATGCTGCATTATCTTGGACTTCTAAACCAGGCTCAATGCACACAGCAAAGCATGACACTATTTTGATCTTATGATCACACTTACAGCACCATTAAGTTGGTGCTGCAGCTGGCTAGAGTAAAGCTGTACATTTTAAGTAAGTGTCCATTAACTGCCCAACTTTAAGTTTGATGACATAACAAGCACTACAAATCTGAGCCTTACGCTGTTAGAACATAAACCTACATATTCTGTAATGTAGCCCTCCATACAAATGTACTTGAATGCCATCCAGAAAATGCCAACATTTTAGAGTAGATAGCCAATGGAAGCCCAGATACACCTTAAAACAGAGTGAACATACGGTCACATGCAAAATCATTTGTTTATCCAACTGTGCGCTAGGCATCCTTACATGCAAAGGCACACCCTTAGTTGAAATGGGAAAGAAACGAAAACATCTAAATTATAAACTGTTGCATGCACAACATAACTTTATATCTGGACAGATGTGGTATGTGTTGTGTTATATACCTCCTCACACAGTAAATTCATTCCCAGTCCACGTTTATTTCTTGTCATTCATAATGCGGCCACCTCCCCAAAATGTTGAATAAAAACCTAAACGCTGATAGCGAGCACTCACCACGCTCAACACCAACGTCCTCTCCCAATCGCACAAAACACGGGGCTTCGTTCCCCTGAGGAACCGTGGGTCCCCTGGTCTCCTCAAGGGCATACGGTTCCCCTTGACTGTCCTGGAGAAGGAGAGACCCGGTCTCAAGGCTATATAACGCCTGGGCTCAGAACGAAAATAAACCGCCGATATCGTGTGTTTCGCGCCACTACTTGTATCCGTGAACAAGAAACCCGCGAAAATATCAGAGAAGAGTATCTGCAAGAAACTCCATAAGTTCTCGACTTTTGCTGTGCAACGGGCCTTGGTCTTAGCGCTTTTTTATGCGTCAGACGCATCTTAAGAAATGCAAAGCCTGTATTGAATGATTCACTTGCTGGCAATTGCCAGTTGCAGCGCCACAAACACAAAGTATATAGTAAATTAAAACCGTCCTCCATGTGAGTGCGTTTGCTAGTTTACTTCCGTCGACGGCCTCCAACGACGGCGAACGATACCAACGGCGGACGCTACATCTAAGGTTCCAGGAAAAAAGTCGAGTGGAGAGATTCCACGACAGAAAGTCGACGGGAGTAAAAGTCGTCAGGGTTAAAGTCGAATCGAAAAAAGTGGAAAGGGGACAAAATCGAGGGACAAAAAGTCGAAAGGAACAGACGCACGTCAAGTCAGAAATATTAAAAAACAGAAAGTTCACCGGTGATACGCCCCGGCATGACTGATGGATTAATCTGCGGTCACGCGTAGAAACAGATAGGAATGAATGGGACTGCATGGGACGGAACGGGAGCGAGCGACCGGACGGAAGCCAGTCCCACCAGAAGGAAACGGGCAAGAAGGAGAGCTGCGGCCGGATCGTATGAGAGCCAGACGAGGCCAGGTGGGACATCATGGGACGGTATCGGGCGGCACAGAACGAGACCACGCTACCCGGATCTCAGACAGCTCGAGACCCCGGAAGTGGTCGACAGGGAACAAGACGAGACAGAACGAGTCCAGACGCGACCAGACGGAACCCAACAAAACCGGACGAACCTTACGAAGCAGGGGATCAGACAGGGCATGTGAGCATGATACTGTCTGACCAGACAGGACGGGACCAGACAAAATCTCAGGTGAATGCTGTTAAATCTGCTACATAAGGGCCTTAATGCGACGCAAAGTACATGCTTCAACTTTCGCAACGGGGAACGGTATAAGCAAGGCGGCCGCAAAACAGCTTACAGTGTGTGTTGTGTGACTGTGTCGGCAGTGAACCTGGATATTTGATGAACCATTTAAACTTGATGACTTGAAAACTTGATGAACTTTAAAACGCTCACATTGTGTTTTTGTGTTTTTTTTTTGTCGTGACAAAAGTCCAACCTCTGGTTTTTCGGCTGGGACCGTAGTTTTGCGAATGAGCTGGGGAGGAAAGGAGAGGGGGGCGGGATGGAACAAGGGAAATTACATAACCTATCTCAAAACGCCAACAAATAGATTCCAAAACGTACACTTTCCTGCTCTCATGCCCGATGCGACATCACTCAAACATTCAACGGATGCTAAGCGTGCCGTTGCCGCCGTTGTTAGCA